GGGGGAGGAGCCACGGGCGACGCCGGCCCGGGCTCAGCGGCTCCGCCTCCGCTGCCGAGGGAGGAGCTCCGGGCGCGTCCGGGGTCCCCACGGCGTCTCCCTACCAGGTGCTCGAAGCCCTCGGCCCCCGGCTGCTGGGGTCACCCCCACTGGGCGACCAGTACCCACGGGGCTACTGCGAAACGCCGGGGCAGCCGCCTCGGGGATTTGAACTTGGAGCCCTCGGAACTCAGAGGCGCGTGGGAAGGCGGCCCTAAGGCGGCCGCGGGGCTAGGGTTAGCACATGCACCCCGCGGCCCCCCAGCCTGCCGGCTGCCCTTTCCAGTAAGCCTGGAAGGGGGGTGGGGGATCTGGGCTCCTCTCTTGCTCCCAGGCCTGTAGGGGGAAGGGGCCCTGGAGGCAGAGGGGCTCTCGATATGACACGGAACCCTCTGGAGCGAAGGCGACACTCCCACCAGGTCTAGCCTGAGGTCTGCACCTGCGCACTCACGCTCATAGACACCTGCCCTCTGGGTGGCACATCCACCGTTAGACCCATCTACACGCGACCGACGGGAACTCCTTGGAGTTGACAGTTCTCAGGCCAACCGTTACTCTAGTTCAGGAAGCTTCCCCCTAGCCCTACCCCAATGCTGTCCAAAGTCCCGCCTTCCTCTCCTGGGCTCGTCTGAGGTCTCCGCAGTCAACAGAGAACCCCAGTTCCAGGTCCGGAGGAGGCAGCTGCTTCCTCCACCCGCACCCCCAGCTGCAGGGTGAAATGTGCTCTTGAAGGAGCTGCCCCATTTACTCTAAACCGCAAGTCTGGTTGTTTCAGCAAGAAACTGGGAACAACTCCCCAGCTACTGGGAGCACCCTGAGTCTTCAAGAAGGACATGAGCAGTTACTGAGAATGTGCTGTGAGCCAGAGACTACAGAGAGCTCCATGGAAATTCGCCCTCCCCATGTGACCCTTAGGAGGCAGACATTATTACTCTGCCCACTTTGCAAATGAGGAAGCCCAGCAACTGCACAGCTTAGTCTTTGGGGACTGAAAAGCCGAAGATGCAGAGGACACAATTGTACAGAACTATTGTAAGGATACACCGTTGAGCGCTTGTGAACTGATGGAATCCGAAGAAGGTCTATGGATTGTGTGAATGCCAATGTCCTGGTTGTGATGTTGTGTGCCCTTGAATCGGTTCTGACTTTCGGTGACCAGAACAGAGTAGTCCTGCCCCAGAGGGTTGCCTGCTGAAATCTTCACAGAAGCGCAGCACCAGGCCTTCCCTCCCCTGCAGGGCCTCGGTGGGCGCCCACTGCTGCTCCTTACATGGGCAGCTGAGCTCTGTAACCATCCTTGCTTCACTAAGGCTCCTTCCTGGGTGTGACAGTACACTACCATTATGCAAGATGTCACCATTAGGGGAAATTGGGTAAAGGGTAGACAGGATCTCTATTTTCTCACAGTTGCAGATAAAATTTACAATGATCTCAAAAGGAAGTGATTGTAAAGACTATCTTAAAACACTGTGCCTGGAAAGTAAGGAAGAGGAGAGGTTTATATCTCTCTTAACACTCCCCTGTCCACACTCACTCATCTACTTTATAGTTGGCTGTTTCGTCCGAGAGTAACTAGACATGACACAGGCACAGGCATTGATCATGGACAGGCTGTCAACCCTATGGCCAGGACACTCACATGGCATCACCTTATAGACAAGAGAAGACTGTTCATTCCCTGAAGCCCCGCACAGCCAACACTTCTGGAAAGTAAGAAGGGTCACAGTGTCCAGGCCTTTCAGACCAGGCCCTGGATCCCCTTCCTCGCATTCAAAGACCTGTTTTATCTATGCAAATATGTGTGTCCCCAGCCTTTCCCTTTTGCGCATGTGTGCCTCTAAATAGTTCACCTCGGGTCTTTTGGGCCTAACCACCTGGGATGCCTTCCTTGTGTTTGTCCACTGTTCTTATTTGGTCTAGAATTAAAAGCAGGCCAGGAAGAGGTTCTTGAACCCATGCCTTTTGGATTTCAGGGGCTGAGCATTTAGGTGCTTTCCAAAGGCTTGGTACTCACATGGAGAAGGGATTTTTTGAAGTCTGTTTTATTGGCATATAATTCACCTATTATACAATTCATTCATGGCAAAGAGGAGTTGTACACTTAGTACCACCATCAATTTTAGACCATTTTCTTCAGTCTTGTACTCATTGTTATTGGCTCCCCCTTTCCCCCCAACCTGCCCTGCCATACTCCCCCCAGGAACCTTTAATCTAGTAACTGTCTCTGTAGATTTATCTATCCTGGATTTCATATACAGAAAAACATTTTTAACTGCCCTCCAAACTAACAACAATAACAAAATAAAACAGATTTTAAAACCTCAATTGAAAAGAAAAAACGGCAAATATTAAAAACTAGGACAAGTTTTAAATGGATCAAAAGGGAGATCAAATGATACACTATTAAATTTTAACCTAACTGCATCTGCAGTAATCCACTCTCCCATGTATGCTGCAGGATAGCAAGGCTGGTCACATCCCTGGTCTATGGCCAGAGGGGATTCACCAGAGGCTTAATCCACGTGTATTTCCCCATCACTGTATTACTATTTTTAAGCGAAACAACTTTTAAATAGGCCAAAGGGAGATCAAATGGTAAGATATTACATTTTACCCTAACTCCATCTGCTGCGATTGACTTTACGGTGCCCTCTGTCTGATTCCAGGGCTATTCTGGGATGCTGCTTGTCTCTGATTTTCCCTTTGGAAGCTTCCCTTTTCATGAGGCTGCAATCTGGAGATTTCTGCAGTTCCAAAGGCTGTTAAGAACCAAAGCACTGTTACTACTGCTTCGTTCCCAAAAGGAGGAATGATGTTTTACTTCAAAAGGCATTTTGCTGTCCTTTGCCCTCTCTCATCCTCTCTTAAGCACCCTCACTGCCGTCACACACAGCAGCCCCCTCACAGTGACCCTACAGGACAGGGTAAAGCTGCCCCTGGGAGTCTCTGAGGCTGGCACCCTTTTGGGGAGTACAAAGCCCATCTTTCTCCCCTGAAGTGCCTGGTGGTTTCAACCTTGAGGATCACACCCCAATGGGTAACTACTATGCCACCAGGATCCTCTTCAGCTCGTAATGACTAGGACGTGATAGCGTTGCTTTTTTAAAAAAGGACTTTAGAATGGAAAATGGCATGACTTGTTTTTCTTTAAGAAAAATTCTGTGTAAGCCTTTTCTTGACTTTTGATAGTCAAGTAGTGTGTTAGGCAGGGTTCTCTATGGAAACAAAACCAGGACACTAATGATTAGATAGATAGATAGATAGATAGATAGATAGATAGATAGATAGATAGATAGATAGATTTATACAGCGAGAAGTCATATAACAGCTAATTAGTCCACACAGCAGTACAGAGGGCTCAGTTCAACTCACTTTCAAAGAACAGTTAATATACTTGAAGTCCTTCAACTCACATGGGCTGCCAGGTTCAAGGTCAAGGAAGCAGACTATAGAGTCTCCCTGAGGCAAGGCAGGCAGAGCCAGCCCGCAGGCAGCACAGGAGCTTAGAGAAACAGGTCCTGAGCTTGACAGGATCCACCAGCCCCAAGCTCAAGCACTGTGTGCACCAGCAATGTGGGGAAGCAGGTCTCGAAGGAAGCTTACAGGATCCATGGGTTGGCTTGGCCTACAGGTAGTGTAGCACACAGGTTGAAGCAGAGAGCTAGCTAAAGCAGCAGCATGCTGGTCTGATCACCAGAGAGAAAGAGCCAGATGGGGCACCAGCTATCTTTATTTATTTCAGTTGTCCTCCAGTCAAGCTCCGCCCACATGTTCCTTTTGGCCTAGTTGGCACAATAAACCTAATTGTCACAAGTAGGATGTAGTCTCATACAAATTTTGTCCTCTCCTGATTGACTAGTTTCTCCAAGCATAATGTCCTCCAGGTTCACCATGTTTTGAAGTCTTTTTACAGATTAATCCTTATTCTTTCACATTGCATAGTATTCCATTGTGTGTATATCATAGTTTATCCATTCATCTGTTGAAGGACATGTACCTTGTTTCCATCTTTTTTATATTGTGACTATGCTGCATTTAATATGGGTGTGTCAGAGATTATTTTAAAATAGTGCTTCCCAGTAGAAAAATGTGTCACATGTACAAATTGTTTTTCTGCTAGCCACATTAAAAAATAAAGACAATAAAATTAATTTTTGTAATGTGTCTTATTTAACCCACTATGCCTCAAATATTACTTTTTCAACATGTAATCAATATAAAAGTTACTTATAAGGTAATAAAACTTTTTTATATAATAGTTTTATTGACATATCTTACACATTCCAATATATCCATTGCATACAGTTCTCTTGTGCAATACCATCCGGTGGGGTTATTCAATCACTGAT